TTCCTGCTTTGTTGAAGATTAGTTGACCATATAGTTATGGGCCCATTTTTGGGTTTTCTATTCTGTTCCATTGATCTCTGTGTCTGTTTTGTGCCAGTACCATATTGCCTTGATTACTATAGTTTTGTAATATAGCTTGAAGTCCAGAATCATGGTGCCTCCCGCTTTGCATTTCTGTTTCAGTATTGCTTTGGCTATTTGGGATCTTGTGTGGCTCCATACAAATTTTAGGATTGTTTGTTCTAGCTCTGTGAAAAAATGCTGTTGGTATTTTGATAGGGATTGCATTAAATATGTAGATTTCCTTGGGTATAGACATTTTAACAATGTTTGTTGTTCCAATCTGTGAGCATGGAGTGTTTTTCCAGGTCTTTGTGTCCTCTTTCATTTCTTTCATAAGACTTGTATAGTTTTCAGAGTACAGATCTTTTACCTCTTTGGTTAGGCTTATTTCTAGGTATCTTGTGGGTCTTGGCACAATTATAAATGGAATCAGTTCTTTGATTTCTTTTTCTGCTGCTTCATTATTGGTGTATAGAAATGCAATAGTTTTCTGTACATTGATTTTATATCCTGTGATTTTGCTGAAATAAGTTCTGGCAATATTTTTGGTGGAGGCTTTCAGGCTTTCTACATGGAGTATCATGTCATCTGCAAATAGTGAAGGCTTGACTTCTTCCTTGCCAGTTTGGCTGACTTTTGTTTCTTTTTGTTATCTGATGTTCATTTTATCCCCAGTCATTTTTTTTTCTTTTTTCCACTTTAAATAGTTTCTATTGCTATGTCGTCATGGTCTTTTTTTAATTGTTTCTTCTATGTCTAATCTACTATTAGACAGTGAATTTTTTATTTTATGTATTTTATTTTTCCTCTCTAGAAGTTCCATTTAGGTCTTCTTTATACCTTTTGTTTCACTTTCATCATGTTCATGTTTGCCTTTTCATCTTCAAGTATAATTAAAATGTTTTTAAAAATTGTTTAAAGGTCTATTCTTTCCTCATCCCTACCGGATCTTGTCTTCACTGATTTTTCTCCTGGTTAGGGATTTTGTTGTTTGCTAGTGTGTCTAGTAAATTTTTATTGGATGCTTGACATTTTTAATTTTACACAGGTCACTGTTGGATTTTATTGTCTTCCTTTAAAGAGTGTTGGACTTTTTCTGGAGGGTAGTTAAGTTACTTTTTGATGTTTGATCATTTTAAGGTTTGTTTTTAAGCTTTTGTAGGGCAGGTCTAGAGTGGCCTTTATTCTGGAACTGATTTCACTCTACTCCTAAAGTGTGGTCTTTTTTGATTCCCTACTGAATGCCCTTATAGTCAGTCAGGTCTCTCCACTCAGGCTGGAAGGAATGTAAATTATTTCTGTCCCATTATGAACATTGCAGGGAATGTTCATCTTATAGGTCCCTAGTTATTCTCCTTTCTTGGGAAGTTATTCTTGCCTAGTTTCATGACATATTTGCTCAGATTATTACTCAGCTAAAAATAGTCAAGGGGACCAAATGCAGACTTCTGGAGGTTTGTTTGTTTACTTTTGTTTGCATATCTCTGTTCTTTCCAGGACTCTGCCCTTCAAATTCTAGCTGCCTTCTCCTCCCTTAGCCGTAATCTCTGGCTCCTCAACTCGGTAGGATCTCTGGACTCCCCATGTCCTGCAGCCTGGTGACTGCCTCTAGGGAGTAAGCTGGAGTAGTCATAAGATTTAACCCATGTGTTTCCCTTTGTTCAGTGATCACAATCCTGCATGCCTGTGGTCCAATGTCTGAAAATAGCGGCTCATAAAAAACATATCCAGTTTTTTTAGTTGCTTACAGTATGAGAATATTCTGGCCTGTCTTCCTCCTGCATAGTCAGAAGCTCAAGTCACCACTATGTCTGTGTGTGTTTAATCTGACAAGGCTCTGCCAGCTGGCCTGCACTATAGCTGCAGCTGTCTGTGCTTCCAGCAGCAATGCCTGAGGTGTCCTGTGAGAGTGTGGACGTATTGAGCTAGAACTCTAAAGCAGACTGCCCCTATTTATTCCTTGCCCTTTCTCCCTTACCTTTTTGAAGAAAAAGTGTGAGCATTACTGGGACCAAGAACAGGAACCACTACAGATTGGACTATTCTTCACTGTGCTGGTAAGCTGGAGCAGAGGTGGGAACAGTGTTTTATGGAGTCTTGAATGTTAGGGAGGTTTCACAGAAGATTCTCAGGGTGGAAGGCTTTTGGGCTGAGCCTGAAAGGATGAACAGTTTTCCCACAGCCCCCTCACACTTATTAGTATGCAAATAGTCATAACTCAATACATGCATTCATTTTGCATTTTAACTATGATCATGATTATCTCTGTTATACAAATGTGCCTTGTTAAGTTCTTAAAATCCTTATTTCCCTTAACATTTCAAAAGTCAGGAAAATCTGTCACCTCAAGTCATACATACAGTTGGTACATGAGAAGTGCAATAAAACTCTTGTAGAACAAAGGAAATCTCTTTTTTTCACTATAAATGAGCTTGCTGGGGTGTTTAATCATATTTCTTCTTTCCCTCCTCCATCAAATGTTTCCTTCAGGAAAGCCATGGGGGATGTTTTAGCTGAATGCGTTTTAAAAACAATGTTGTTTGACTTTGATTTTTAATCAGAAATGCTTTGTTTTCTGTAAATGTCTTTTGGCACCTGTAGTCTTTGTTCTCCCTTCTCTTCCCACCTGCCCCACATCCTCAGACAAGGGAGACATGGCTGAACACAGACATCATACTCAGGGCACTTTAGGTCACCTTTCAGAAGGTACTGAAAAGGGAGGAGGAGGCTCCCATATGGGGAGAGCTGTTTTCTGTCTCCCATTTTCTCATCTGTAAAATGGGCATTAGCAATAGTACTTATCTTCTCAGTTATTATCTGTTGGATTTAAATGAAAGATGTTTAGAATTGAGCCTGACATGTAGTAGGTACTCATAAATGTTTTTTTTTTTTTTTTTTAAT